TAGTAAAACTTAACCTTTATTATCTTTGATGGTTTCATTAATTTAGTATAAAGGTTAATTGTTCATTTTTATTAATTACTCAATACATTTTCAATTCTATGTGTGGTTTCTAGTGATGTTTTTTCCTGCACAGCCCTATTGGTTTCAAATGTGGTATATAAATAAGTTTTCTTGGAACAGAAAAAAACTGAACAAATTCACATTATTGATCAAAAATAAACTTATCCAAACTACATCCACAGCTAATTTTTGCTGGTGTAACATTTTATGTTGAGATAGATTTTATTAAAAGGGCTCTGACATGACTAAGCTGGATCTGTCAGGATTGGATAACCATCCCTCCCAGTTATTACTGGACTACCTCCCTTGCTGCAAACAGGGTACCAGTGATGTATTGTGATCTTCCTGACTATAGGCATTTGAATCCTCCGGTACCAGACATACATTCATATGAACACAAAATAAAAGGTTATATCCAGGAGGCAATTTCTTCCTTTAGCCTTCTTGGCATGTTTACCACATTTTTACCACAGTGACACACTGTGGTAAAAATCAGATAGTTTTTCTCCACACTAACAATGTTAATTTCAATACTGATAAAGTGTCTCTTTCCAAACCAGTAGGTGTTTCAATATCACCTAGTAAAATATTAGAAAAGTTGACAACAACAGCCATTGTGTAATATCTAAAACTACAGGTTGTCGCATTAACAAAACAACAGTGAGACTGTCAGTGATGGCAGTGGTACTCCACAGGTAACGCTAATGATTTAGAAATCTATCAAAAAAATAAAATTAGCCTAGCACTGTTCCCTTAATTCCCACAAAACGCCTTTCTAAAAGAATATAATGATCAAATGTATCAATGAGATACGGATACAAGTCTATTATCTGAGGACAGGAGAATATCATTAGTGACTTTCACCTGTTCTGTTTTAGTGCTATGATTAGTTCTTAAACCCCACTAAAACGTTCATTATGGTGTAAGTGGTGAAAACACTTGTTCAAGACGTATTTTTTAAACACTTATTTTGGAGGTACAGTATTTTCTCAAGAATTTTAGGTAATAAAGGAAGATTAGACTTTGGTCTATAATTGACCAAGTCATCTGGGTCAAAAGACAGTTTCTTAGGTGAAGATTTAATTAAAGTAAAGTTAGGATTATTTTTATTTATTTATTTTATTAACTGAGGTAATAAAGCATTTGTAATTTGATACTTGATGCCTCTGGGTATAATGTTGACTGTCAAGTAGAACGTGGTAACTTATTATACTAGCTGAAAATACACTTTCAGGTAAACTTCAGGGAATGATTTTAATGTTGTCTACTTATCATCAACAAACATAAGGTTTGACACATAACAGGCAGGTATTATTAGGGTTTACCAGACTCAAACATCATCAATAAAAATAATCTTAAAAAAAAATACCTTAGAAGCCTTAGGTACAGTTTTAATCATATCTAAAGGTGGAAATAAGGAGGAATACTTTCTTAAATAAATAACTTATATTTATTTAAATATAAATAACTTTTATGATTCAGTTGGAACTGGATCTAACATCTAAGTTGAAGCCTTTGATGGAGAAAATAGTTTTGCTAACTCTGAAAGTTCAACTGGATCTAAGCAGTCTAAACCGGGTTCAGATTCTATGGCTACCCGCTGCTCTATGGGGTTCAGGTCAGGAAAGTTGACAGGCCAATTGAGCCCAGTGATACCATGGTCAGTAAACCATTTACCAGTGGTTTTGGCACTCTGAGCAGGTGCCAGGTCATCTTCATCTCCATAAAGCTTTTCAGCAGATAGGAGCATGAAGTGCTCCAAAATCTCCTGATAGCTGCATTGGCCCCGCCCTTGATAAAACCCAGTGGACCAACACCAGCAGCTGACATGGCGCCCAGACCATCACTGTCTGTTGATACTTGACACTGGACTTCTGGCATTTTGGCATTTCCTTCTCTCCAGTCTTCCTCCAGACTCTGGCACCTTGATTTCCAAATGACATGAAAAATTTGCTTTCATCCAAAAAAAGCACTTTGGACCACTGAGCACCAGTCCAGTGCTGCTTCTCTGTAGGTCAGGCGCCTCTGCCGCTGTTTCTGGTTCTAAAGTGGTTTGACCTGGGGAATGCGGCACTGTAGCCCATTTCCTGCACACGCCTGTGGCTCTGGATGTTTCTACTCCAGACTCTGTCCACTGCTTCCGCAGGTCCCCCAAGGTCTGGAATCGGCCCTTCTCCACAATCTTCCTCAGGGTCCAGTCTCCTCTTCTGGCTGTGCAGCGTTTTCTGTCACTCTTTCCTTCCCACTGAGGCGCCTTAAAGCAGCAGCACTCTGGGAACAGCCTATTGGTTCAGAAATATCTTTCTGTGTCATAGCCTCTTGCTGAGGGGGTCAGTGATGGCCTTCTGGACAGCAGTCAGGTCGGCAGTCTGACCCATGATCGGGGTTCTGAGTGATGAACCAGGCTGGGAGTTTTAAAGGCCTCAGGAATCTTTTGCAGGTGTTTAGAGTTAATTTGTTGGTTAAGATGATTAGGTGAATAGCTCATTTAGAGACCTTTTTCATGTGCAATGGCTCTAAAATATATGAATGTTAAAGTTTTATCATTACATAATAGAAAATAATTAGCATGGTCTCAATATGCTAATATTTTCGGAAGGACCTGTATACCGGCACACATCGTTCTTCAACAAACCTTCAAATCATCATTTTATCAATGATTTCATCATTTTTCCTTGCTTTCTGACCGAAGCCCTGTAGTGGTTAATTAGCCAGAAATCAGCAACAGCACCTATAATCTTCTACACTACTCAAATTAATATTTTGCTTTTTCCTCCTAGTTACAACAAGAACCTGATTGTCATGGTTCTTAGGTGTCTAACCGACATGCAGGTTACACTCGAGAGAAGCAGAGCAGATTTAAGATGTTTATTGGGAAATCGGCTTGGCAGATGTAACGGAGAAGTTAACCCTCAGGACGAAGTGCAGAGGAATGGATGTGGAGATTGGCTCGAGTGGTTGCCGATCACTGCAACCAAACCAGGGGGGATGGAGTGGAGGGAAAGGTGCTCCGAAATTGTAACAGGTGACTGAGCGGCTGGTGGACGGGCAGGAGGAGCCTGGGATGAGGGGATCCAAATGGCGCAGGAGTGGTGGTGGTCAGGTGGCAGATGGAGGAAGCAGAGGGTCCAGTGTGGTTTCTCTGCCTGGCTTGGTTACACCAAGTGGGCATGAGAGGTCAGGTCCAGAGCTATTTGAGCTGAGGAGCCTGACTAGGGTCGTCAGATCACAGGAGGACACAGAAGAGGAATACAGTAAACAAGGATTCAATGCTGGGAAAAAGTAAGCTGTCGCTACACAGAGGCCTCTAAGCGTACCAAACAGGTTCACACTCTGGCATCCTCCAGCTGTCAGGATGGTGTTCTTATAGTGTAGCCCAACGAGCTGCAGGTGTGTACCATGCCCACCAACCAACTCAGGTCACCTGTTGAGAGAGCAGAGAAGGCAGAACGCAGCACAGTGTTGCCTGCTGCATCCTGACACTGATAATTTGCATATATATATATATATATATATA